TAGTTCGGAAGCCCACATGATCGGTGTTCGCACATTTCTGAGTGAATATATATATATATATATATATGCTGCCGCCTAACTGCCTTATGTAATTTGTGATTTAACATTTAATTTTTGGTTAGCGAGTGTAAACAAATATTTAATTGTGTTGGAAGTGATCAAAAATATTAAATTTAAGAGAGATTTATTGCTTTTAATGCACTAAATAGAATCAATTTCATCAATATAAACTCCTGTTGCTCAGGCAACTAATGCCCATTGGTGGAAATTCAATCTTATATTGGCGGAATTTAACGAAAAAAGGGAAAATACGATTACAGAAAATGAAAAAGGAAAGTAAGGGCAAATAAGACCTCTAAAGGCAGTCCTGTCCATAAAAGTTTGAAGATGACATACACCAGACATCAATGGAACCATAGATTACGCCAGAGCTCTTCAGCTGCGGCCTCTCAAAACATAACTTGAATAACGCATGACAGAATACAAAAAGTGAACGCGTACAGAAAAATTGATGCAAACAGCAAGGTCATAGAACTTGGCCACGAAGGCTAATCCATAACGTAAACAAGTTAAAACACAGTGGGGGAAACGACATTGAAGGCAAAAAAGTTGAGCAGGGAAATGTGCAAATCAGGCTGCCAGATGTAACCATGGCAAAGTTAAGTTCACCGCGTGCTCCAACTGTCTACATAGGTCGGGTTTAAATCGCCGTATAAAGGCTGCCTCCAGATACGAGTTGTTCGTGCCGGAAAAAGTACTCCAACGGGGTCAACGGAGTGACCTGTATCAAGTAGGTGTTAAGTAATAGACGAACATGGAATTCTATTTTTGTTTGTTATAATACCTATTTAGGCGAGTTCTCTTTGGATCTGACTGCCAAGTGCTGTTGCATTCGTTCTATGTACTTGCACCCGCAAGTGCGTGTAAATTCGTAAACACAGTTGGAAGTGGTGTACACTGACAAGGCATCCTTGGCACGTGGCATTTGTAGTGGCTTTGTGGGATTGCACTTTTTCCCACAGTGTTTTAACTTGCTTACACCATTTATTAGTCTTCGCGCGCATTTTCTATATGTATTCTCTTATATGTAGCGAGAGGCCGCAGATAAAGAGAGCTCGCGAAATTTATTGGTTCCATGACATTCTGCTGTCTATGCAACCTTCAAATTTGCACCAAGGAAAAGATGTTTTAAAACAGAAAAAACCAGCAGTCTATATCTTTTGTCC